CCCACCACCATCACCACCACCACCACCACCACCACCACCCACCACCATTCAGTTAACAAGGGGCCCCATATGGCCGCGTGTCTGCTGGAGTCAGAGTGCCCCTCGCCAAATCTCTGTTGCACAACAGGCGTGTCCTCTAACTCAACCAGCATGATGAGGCTTATATGTCCCTTTCTCGATAGGCCTGGAAGAGGCATTCTCTCCTCCCGTCAACAGCTCTGGCTCTCAGAAACGCAGACTCTGGTCTATCTACGGGGTCACTGTGAGTCAGCGCCGACTCCCCAGGAGTGAGTTTGCATAGAGAGACGTAATTCTTACTCGTTGGGATTTAAATTTTATATGTAGTTAGAATTATGTGTCGTATATTTGCAACCCACACGTTCTGCCTCTAATGCCTGGAAAATTCCAGTCTCGGAAGCTTCCGGCCAATTCCACAGCCAGCTCCCCTCCCCACTCCGGCTGTGGTTTCCATGACGATGATTAAGCCCACTTGCTTCTGACTCGCGCAGCAGAACACAGCAGAGCTCCTGGTAATAAACTATCCGGGAGGCGGCTACCCACCTTCCACCCTCACCGTGGTTCTCCCAGGACGCCTTCTTCAAGGGTCGCACCACGGAGGCCAAATCTGGACTCCTGGAGCAGGACAGTGGTGTTGGTGGGACACCTCGCTCATGTGGGCGAGAAGTGGGACCCCGAGAATTGAGCTCTCCCGAGGCACTGGTGGGAGATAAAGGCGGAGGAGGCTGACGGGACGAACGACAAATGGAGATGCAGGTTGACTACTGTCTACTCAGGAAGCCTAGTGGCACAGCCGGTGAGGCGCTCAGTTGCTAACCTGGAGGCAAAGGAAATGGAATGCATGCCCAACCGTTGAGTAAAATATGGCGGTGTGCTCTTCAAGTTCCGTTAGTTTTTGTTGTCGTCGTTGTTGTTGTTTGGGGGCGGGGGTAGGGAAGAAAGAGAGAAACCTGAATTGGAGGGGGTGAGTTGATCAGGAAGCAGTAGAGCAATAACGGGGTATGCAATACACCCCTGTTCCCTGGAGGCCTCCTCACTCCACCCCCACCCCACTATCACAACCTCAGTGCCTCCTCCCAATCTAGACTAGACGGAAGCATGTCCATAGGTATAGGCAAGAGATAAAACTCACAGCACATGGAGCCCAGGAACAGGAATGGGACTAGAGATACTGAAAGGGTAGGGGGAAGTGGGGAGAGGGGGACACCGATCGTAATGAATGGCACATAACCCCATCCAGGGGGAAGAACAACAGAAACCAGAGGGGGAGGGAGGGAGACAGCAGTTGGAGTGAGATTTGAAAATAAATAACAATCTACAATCTATCAAGGGGCCATGAAGGTTGGGGCAGGGAAGGAGGGAGGGAAAAAAGGAGGAGCCGATCCCAAGGGCTCAATGGAAAGTAACTGTCTAGAAAAGAACGATGGAATATGTCGGATACAATTGATGTATGGTTTGTAACAAGAGTTGTAAGAGCCCCCAATAAAATGATATTTTTAAAAAGCAAACAACAACAACAACACCAAAAATCCCCAAAAGGCAGGAGAATTCTTCTAGCTTTAAAATGACATAAAACCAGAAGAAAATGTGTAAACTTTGATTGGATTTTAAAAGCAAGCCAAGATTATATTTGGGGAAATTGTAATACTTACATTATAGTATATGAAATTAAAGAAAAATTTTAAATGTAAATAAATAAATGATCATCACAGTTTTAAAATAAAGATGGAAGATTGTTCTGAAAAAAATTAAATTTAATTAAAAAAACTAGTTTATACCAAGGGTTCAAGTAGAAAGCGTTTTGGAAATGATGATGGCAACTTGTGTATAAATATGCTTGATACAACTGATGTATGGGATGTTATAAGAGCTGTAAGAGCCCCCAGTAAATATGATTTAAAAAAGGAGAAATAAAGAAATCTAAAAAGAAAACCATGCAGCTATGTGTCCCTGATCACCGGGGTGGGTCCTTCATTCCAACTACAAACAAGTCCTTCAGCCACTCGGGACCTTCTGAGGCGAGCTGCAAAGTTTCTTGTTTGAAGAATACATTGTAAAAGGCAGGGCTCCTTTGATAAGGAAAACGTAACTTCAGAACACTGTTCCTCCCTTCTGCTGATAACCGGCAGACGTGCAAGCAGCGAATTTGTGGGCTGGCTCCCAACCACAGCGGTGGCACCAATATCACAAGGAATCATCACCCCAGTGAATGTTTTTTGTTTCCCAGTGCATAGAACAGTTATGTTTACACTCTCCTGCGTCCATTATGCGTGTGTTTGCAGGATGAATTTGGAAACCTCTTGAGTAAGAGAGCAAGGTTGACAGTTCAAGCTCATCAGCTGCTCCAAGGGAAAACGATGAGGCTGTCTGAGCTTGTAAAGATGGACAGCCCTGGAAACCCTCTATGGGGTCACTATGGGTCAGAATCGACAGTGAGTTTGGGGTCATAAATTAGAACTTTCCATATAATCAGAAGAAACTAGTGAACAAAGGGCTGTCCGATTAGAAAACGTAATCCTATGAGATATCCTCCTGTCAGCTTCATGGAGACATACATCATCGCACCATGGGCGGGCAAGCAGCCACTGCTTCCCACATAGAAACAGCCATGGAAGCATGGTTCCTTCCGGGGAAACCTTGGGACAGAGGTGGCTTCCCTGCTCACAGGCTGCTTGATCCCATGGATGGCGAAAGCTTCCTATTTTTCACCATCACTGACACCAGGCAAAATGCAACGGGCTTATTTTAGTACAAGACGCCAGTTTTTATTGCTAAAGAAAGGGCAAAGTGACCCGAATGGAGTTAATTTGGGATTACCAGGTGGCATAGAGTCGCCTCCCACTCACGGCGATCCTAAGGGTGTCAGAGTAGAATGTGCTCAGTGAGGTTTTCTTTCAGGGGCTGATTTTTCAAAAGTCCACCACCATGCCTTTCTTTTGAGGCACCCCTGGGTGGGTTCAAAGCTCTAGTCTTTGGGTTACTAGCTGCCCCGCTACTGTTAACCAGTGCTATCTCCCCCAGCCAGCGCTACAGCCCAAGGGAACGTGTATATATGAGCAGGCCTCAAAAAGTGTGTGCAAAAAGTCAATCAGCTCCCCATTCAACTTTGCCACGAACTTTTCGAAGTTCCCTCACACATACACACGTATATGTATGTGCGTACATACAGTTCATTAAGAGATTCAGAAATTCTGGTATAGGACTTGTTATTAAAATAAAAATACATTTTATAAGGTATATGGCTAAGTATCAGACCTTGACTGTCTCCTTTTACATAACAAAATTATGCAGTGAATTCAGTGTGAGAAATTGGAGCGAACAACAGTGCTCTAAGTTACCATTTTACCATGGAGAAAAAAAACTAATTAGAATTTTGTCTTGATTTTTCTTTTCAACCAAAGGATACTATTTTAAATTAAATTCCTCCAGAAAGTAAGCTAAGGTTGAAATTTATAGATGAGCAGGGAAAAAATTAATCATGAGATACACATCTATTAAAGAATAACAGGTATGTGTCTGAAAAGATTTTCAAGGTATATTATTATCTCATAGTAAGTGTGAACTCTTGAAAAGTTAACGGCGGTAGCCAGACACACCTTACTGTCAAGCATCTTCATGGTTACCAGATCCAGTGACTTCAGAGAATGCCCTGTCGGGGCAATGAAGTAGAGACACACGTGGACTCGGGAATCGTGGAGCTTGATTAAAGAACGCTTGATCTTCAGCTCTTCTTGGAGATAGGCCTCAAACTGAGTATCTATGTAGTCGATGATCGGTCGGTAGCTGAAATGGTGGAAGAACCTCAGGCATGAAGACAAAGTACATTAAGACATTTTCTGTAATTGCCGAATGCAACATCTTGGAAGGACAGCAGCAGATGATACATACATGCCGATCGCAAACTAAGGAGAGACGATTACTTAAGGAAAATTGAAAACTTGGAGAGATTACAACTTACTCCAGGAGTAAAGAAGGCAAATTCTTTGAAATAAGACACTCTTGTTTCATTAAACCAAGAACACACTCACCTGGCTTCCTTGTTTATTTGATCGCCATAGCCGACTGTTTTCACAACCGTTAATTTCAAGTGAACATTACTTTCATGGAGATCATACATCTGAACTTTAAGTCCAACACTGGGGTGAAAATGTGAGGATTTGTGTTCTTTAAAATTAGTATTAAACAATGTGTCGATCAGAGTTGATTTTCCAATTCCGGTTTCGCCTATAATAAACAGAGACGCATCATCATAAAGACATAGGTTGCGTGAGAAGAAATAACAATCTAACCCCCTCAAAACAAAACAAAACCATGCCAATGAGTAGATTCTGACTCATAGTGACCTACAGCATAGAGTAGCAATGGTCCTCTAGAGTGACTTAAATGAGTCCCAAATACTACCAACAGTACGATGTCCTTTAAAGTATGAATGCTTCCCTTAGGACAGCAACCATATGAGACTCACAGAGCAGCATTTGCTCAGTAATAAAGCTCATAAGGCAGGAAGGGATAGGGAAGGACTGATGGAAACAGTAAACTCACTGAGGGAGGGGAGTGGGAGATGGCTGTGATATTGTGGGAATTGCATTCAGTGCCATGAAACAAAATGTGCATGGATTATAGAATGGACAACCAGTTTTTTTCTTTAAACTTCCACCCAAATCACCATTCAAAAAGAATTTTTTTTTAAGTAGACATGCTATAGGACTGGCTCATTTAGTCATTAGAATAATCAAAATGGGAAAATCTATACATAAGCTATATCAAATTTTTTAAAACACTGAAAGAAAGAAGAAACTATTCAAGTAATATGGCAAAAAAGGTTCAAAAATGAAACAAACATACAGAAATGGTCCTCAAATTGGGAGCTTCAGTATCTTGTTGCTTAAGATCAGTTGGGGACACACACCAATAATGTGGATGAAGGGAGACAGCAGGCGGTGTAAGATATGGAAATAATAATAATTTATAACTTATCAGGGGTCTATGAGGGTGGCAGGGAGGGAAATAAAGGAACTGACACTAAATGGTCAAACAGAAAGAAAATATTTTTAAAATGATGAAGGCAACATAGGTACAAATGTGCTTGATACAATTGATGGATGGGTTGTTATAAGAGCTGTAAGAGCCCCCAATAAAATGATTTATTTTTTTAAAAAAGATCCGTTGAAATGGGCATAGAGGCAGGTGAAGCAATCATTCAGATAAGGAGTCTGGTACCTACCTACACAGAGAATATTAAAAGAGAATCCTTGTTGAATAGATCTATGCACCAACTGGCGGGGGAAGCATTCAAAGCCAAAATTGTCAAGTAAAGGCAAGCAACGGATGTTTTCTTCTTTTTTCTAAAAGAAAAAAAAAAGTTTCTCATTAGAATAGGAAATGAAGACATTTCAAAGGCCAATGATGATGATTTAACAAAGTAATTGAAAGTGGATTATCATTTGCCTATCATACCAGAGACCAGCTGGAAATGGATGAAGTAAATTAGTGAAAAGAGAAGGCTATGTCAGTGCTCACGGGAATATTGCTTATTCTCTTTCTTATGTTTCAAAGTTCAAAAGGAATCATTAAGGAAACACCAGAAGGCAGTGCCAGTATGGTGTGATTGCTGTTAGGTAGAGCTGCTGGTTCCAAGTCTCGGTGACTCTCTGTACATCAGAATGGAGCGTGGCACAGCCCTGCCTCCTTCACAAGCACCGCTTTCTTTAGACACAGGATTGAAGTCACAGCATCAAACCATCTCCTGGAGGAAGTCTTCTCTGACGCCGAGCCTCTACTTTACGAAGCATGATGTCCTTTTCCAAGGACTCTTCTCTCCTGATAACATGTCCAAAGCATTTGAGGCAGAGTCTCACCAGCCTGGCTTCTAAGAAGCGCTCTGGGGTGTCCGTCTTCCAAGACAGGTTTGTCCATGGTATATTTAATATTCTTTGCCATAATTCACCATAATTCAGAAACACAATTCTTGTTCTTTACTTGTTGTCTAGCTTTTGCAGTCCTATGGAGTGGTCGGAAATGGCTTGGATCAGGCACACATTAATCCTCCAGGTGATGCCGGGCAGTAGATTTACTCAAGGCAATATGTCATTTGATTTCTTGACTGCTACTTCCTTGGATGTTGATCAAGGATCCATGTGACATAAAATACATTACTATATTTCCATAGGAAAAAGGGAAATACTGGGGAAACACAATCTATGTTAATGTATGTGAGGCAACCCACGGCGATTTTACACACGTAAGTGGATAAAAACTTTGTGACTTCAGGTCTGTTACATGCCCTCTGAGAACTTGTGTGAAATCAAATCGTTAAGGGAATCTGTTTCTAATAACACCACCTTAGAAGCAGGACGCCAGTGGCATATCCCCTAGCTCAAATCCACCAGCCACACTGAGGGAGGAAACTGAGGCTTTCTATTCCTGCAGAGAGTTGCAGCCGTGGAAAAATATGATGCTCTCAGCTCCCATAAAGATCGGCAGCCCTGGGAACCCGGCATCATTTCATTCCCTTAACAATGGGTGTGACGGCAGTGGGTCAGGATTTTAAGTTCAGAAAGTACAGCACAAAATTCTTTTGCAAAAGATTTAGTATCATTTTACCCAAAAGAAGCGGGGGTGAGGCGGGGAGTAAATGGAAGCATCCTCTCCCTTTAGAGAAGGCAATGAATGCTCTCAAAGCAAGAAGATGAAAAGACAGCGCAGAGAGATATTAACAGAATAGCTATGAAAAGTAACTACTGGGCTTAGAAATTTGACAGACTAGACAGTATTTTTAACCTTTTGAAAAATACATTCCCTTGGAAACAGGGACAGTTTTAAAAATTGTGTAACATATGGGAACCGATTACAAGGGTCTTCATGTACCCTCCTCCCTGGGGGATGGACAACAGAAAAGTGGGTGAAGGGAGACGTCGGACAGTGTAAGATATGACAAAATAATAATTTATAACTTATCAAGGGTTCATGAGGGAGGGGGAAGCGGTGAGGGAGGGGGGAAAATGAGGAGCTGATGCCAAGGGCTCAAATGGAGAGCAAACGTTTTGAGAATGATGAGGGCAACGAATGTACAAATGTGCTTGACACAATGGATGGATGGATGGATTGTGATAAGAGCTGTATGAGGCCCCAATAAAATTATTTTTGAAAATGTGTAACATACAAGAACATAAGAAAATATGAATAGCAAACATTGCTACACTTGTTTAAAAAATTAAATGAAAGATTACAGTCTTGGAAACCTGTTGGGGCGGTTCTATTCTGTCCCGCAAGCTCTCTATGAGGCAGAATTGACTCGATGACAGTGAGTATTTCTGAGAAACTAGAAATTGGTTCATCTTATACAGTTGTTGTTGTTGCTAGCTGCTTTTGAGTTGAGTTTGACCAGACTGGCCCCTGGTGATTGAGTATGGTTTCCCCATAGGGTGTTGGAGGCTGTCGTCCTCACGAAAGGAGGCCTGGGGGACAGTAGGAGACACAGTGGGCTGCTCATTGTCAGGTCAGCAGTGCGAACCCACAGGAAAAAGATGTACTCAACCAGAGAAAAGCCAGGGTCTCTGAGCCAACTCCGACTTGTGGTGACCATGTGTGTATCAGAGTAGAACTCCGCTCCATACAAACCCCAAACCAAGGGTCAACCTAGAACCCCCTCCCAGAGGGACGAATAATGGAAAAGTGAGTGAGGGGCAACGGAGGACAATGTAAGACATGGAAAAAATAATCTATAACTTATCAAAGGTTCGTGAGGGCGGGCAGGCGGGGGAGGGACGGGGGGAAAATGAGGCGCGGATCTCAGGGGCTCAAGTGGGAAGAGAATGCTTTGAAAATTATGATGGCGGCATATGTGCAAATGTGCTCGCCACATTGGAGGAATGTTTGCATTGTGGTAAGAGATGTAAGAAGGCACCCTGGTGGCGCTGTAAGATAGGTGTTGAGCTGCTAACCACAAGGTCGGCGGTTCAAACCACAGGACAGATGTAAGAGCCGCCAATAAAAGTATTTTAAAAAAATGTGAGTAACAAAAAAAAATGTGAGTAACTACTCTGATATTCATCAAATTGCCAATTCTTACACAATCACATAGAAATATATATCACTAAATGCATGTATGTATGTATATATATATATATATGTTTATCACAATCTATGCTCCATTCATTGTGTCAAGCACATTTGTACATTTGTTGCCATCATCATTCTCAAAACATTGTCTTTCTATTTCTCTTTTAAAACTTTTTGTTGCGGCTTGAGTGAGAGTTTATAGAGAACATTGCTTTTCCCATCAGCATTTCATACACATTTTATCTTGTGGCATCGACTGCAATCCCCACAATGTAGCAGCGCTCTTCCAGCTTTCTGGGTCTACTAGTTCCATTGTCCATCTTCCCCATGGCTCCCTGCCTTCTGAGCTTTATCCATCAGAAACAGTGCCCTTTGGATGTCCTATGATCAATTTTTCCAAGGCGTGCATACCTCCCTGGGGTTAATGTTCATCTTATTGGTCTGTCTAGTGTTTGGCTGGAAGTTGAGCCATGGGGGTCTGTAGGGGTTTTAGTAACGGGTCTTTTGGAAGAAGACCACCAGGTCTTTTTACCCCGGGGTCACTGAGTTCGAGTCCAGAACCTCTGAGGTGTGGTGAAGAAAGCAGATAGTGGTGCCCGTCTATCTATCAGAATAGTGTCTGGGATCTTCAAGGCTTGTATTCAAACAAGCAGCCATCTAAGCAAGGAGTCAACTAAGTCCACACGGAAGAAGCACCCCAGCTTGTGTGATCCAGAGATGACAATGACAAAACTGGAATAAGGTGAGGGGAAAAGCAGCAGAGAAAAAAATGATGAACCCCCTATTTGTGGAGGGATATTGGGGGGGCGGGCGGTGGGAGCCCAAAACCCATCTGCAGAGTATCTGGTCAGACTGAGCCACTGGCAGATCCGATCAGCCTTAATATCAGGCAGAGACCATTGTAATCTTGATCATGCTGGATCGAACTCAACACTAAGGCTGTTGACCATCCTACAGACGTGACCTGAATCTGTTCTGGGTGCAAGTATCTCTTACTGGTTCCATGACAGAAACGTATTCCCTGGCTTTTGAAAATATTGTTGGGGTCTTTTCCTTCTTACACATTATTAGTATTTTTGTCTGTATACTATTATGTTTTTATCTTACCACCTTAGCGTGATTTTGTGTCTTATTGTTTTCTGTTGGGTCTCCCAGCTGTGAAGCACAGCAGGAGTGGATGGTAATAACATATACCAGGGGATATAGGGAATAGGGGGGTGGGCGAGGGAGGGGAGAGAGAGGGAAAGGGGATTTCGTGAGTAACTAATGAAGACGGCAGGAGGGAGGGAGGGAGCACTGGAACGGATTGTGATTGCATAAGTCATCTTAAAGGCAGTTTAACCATGGGGGGGGTGCTCTAAAATTGATGTGGAGGGTGATTGTACAAGTCTCCTTGATGCGATTGAATGGTTGAACTATTGGATTATATAATATGTAAATTACTAGCCAATCAAACTGTTAGCAGTCGAGCACACTGACTGTTGACATCAACCAATGACTCAACCCAGAGCGACCAGACGAATAATGCAACCTGAGTTGATGTTATATGAGTGAGAAAATGGAAGCTTTAGAAGGTAAGCAAGACCAGCATTTCAGAAGAAAAGAGCAGGCAGCTGACAACACATGCAAACTGCCATGTGGGAAAGAGGTTTTATTTATTTATAATTAAAAGATCATTTTACTGGGATATTTACTTTCTATTGAGACCTTGCAATCAGCTCCTCTTTTTTCCCCTTCCCCCCCATAGCCCCGTGATATATTATAAATTATTATTATTTTCATTTCTTACACCGACCGCTGTCTACTTTCCCCCATGTTTTCTGTTGTTCTTCCCCATGGAGAGGGGTGCATGGTTATGTGTCAATCATTGTGATCGGTTCCTCTTTCTCCCTTTCTCCCCCCCCTTCCCCCTACCCTTCTGGTATCGCTATTCCCACTCCTGTTCCTGGATTCCGTGTGTCATGAGCCCCTAGCTCTTATCTATAACTGTGTACATGCCCTGGTCTAGTCTGAACTGAGAAGCAGGACTGGGGTCATGGTGGATGGGGGTGAGGAAAGAGATTGATTTTATTTACGAAGCTCAAGGGAACGACAAAAAGACAACATGTTCTAAAAGGCTAATTTTACACAATTTACCAGAAGGTCTATTAAAGTTATCAAAACGTTAAATGGGTCTGCTTAACTGGCCTTGGTTTCCAACACACAGGAGAGGCGGG